GAAACATAATTCTGCTAAGAAAGAAATCATGAAAACTATCCCATTAAAATTAAAACAAAAATTAAATGCCTGGGAATTGTTTTATTTAGCTTTTCTCACTGTGACACAAAGTGACCTGAACAATGTAGAGAAGGGAAAAAGTATTTGGAGCTCATGGTTTCAGAAGTCACAGTCCATACATAGCTGACTCCACAGCTCTGGGCCCAAGGTGAGGCAGAACATCATGGCAGAAAGACTTGGTAAAGGAATGCAGTTCAGAACGTGGCCACCCACAAGGAAGCCGTGAAGAGTTCTACTCAACAGGGTGTACCCAAGTGACCTACCTTCTCCAAGCATACCCTACATGACTATGATTACCACCTAACTAACCCATGTTAATGAGCATGGAAAATGGTACAAATATGTTGAAAAATAATTTGGCAGTATCTTATTAAGGGCATATAAAGGGACATGTGAAGACTTTTACAGGATTTCTTAACTATCTGGATTATGGTGATTCAACATGTGTTTAATATATAGGTCAAAACTTGTCAAGTTGCACATTTTTATATGTGCAGTTTACCTTATGTCAATAATGCCTCATTAAATCTTTTGAAAACAAAAAGCTGTATTGTAAGAAGAAACACCTTAGTGATTGGGATCCAGACACAGGAGAAAGCTAGAGGCTTGAGGTCTTTCATCTTATAGAAAAGAGAAGTAATACTTGGGTTTTAAGGAAGGGGTAAGCAATATCAGAACTGAATTTTTAAAAAGTATATGACTTGGTTGCAGAGAAGAACATAGATTCAGGAAGTGTGTAACAGGGAAAGGAGATCTAAGGTTACTACAGAATTCAAGGAGAGATAATGGTAAGCTGATCTGATCATCCTTCAGGCCCAAGGGAGCAACAGAGCCAACAAAAGGAGTGGGGTGCCATTCACAAAGAAAAGTGCAGTGGGGATGATCCAGGGGTGTACATGAGAGTGTATCACACTTCTCATTATATTTTAATGCAAAGCACCTTTCTGAAATGAATAATACTCTAATACATCAGTGTTCAATGATTAAGTGCTAAGTAACGTGTGCATCTATTACTATAGTATACATCATTATGTAAAGGTCCTACCTTCATATGACCTGCTTGGTTTTCCAACATATGCCCAAATATCCTTATAATTAGGGCACGTCACTTGAAAAGCTGTTGAGGCTATTACAGTTGGCTGTGATTCATCAAGTTCTTCTATAATGTTTATTTCTTTTTTGACCTATAAAACAAAATCCAATATCAAAATGTACCCCAAATACATATAACATATACTCAATACATACAGGTGACAATTATCTACCACACGTAGTATTTCAAAGAACTGATTTCTGTCAAAAGAAAACCTTTATCAATGGTTATTTAATCTTAATCATTTTCAAAGTCTGTACATAACAAAAAATTTTTCTATTCTTTCACTTTGACTTTTACAATATATTTTTAATTTATATTTTTGTATTGTATCACTTTGACTTTCATAATGCACTTTATCAATAAAATATTATCTTGTGTAACAATACCTTGCTCTTTTCATTAGATGTTTTCTCTGTGTGCCTAAAAGAGAAAAAGAAAGAATGAAACACATAATATTCTTTCAGACAAACACCAAATATGTAAAATGCAATAAGACTATTATTTTTATGCATAAATTCTCTATATTTTTAATTTACTTCTTATACCCATAAATTTTATGATCACTTTCCACAATGGGGATTCAAGTGTAAACAAAAAGAACAGCATTAATAAATCAAGAGCACTACTAGTAATAGTCTCAAAACAAATAATTAAATTTAGATCACACCTTATGACAGTAAAACAAAATGAATAATAGCACAGGCCTTATTTGATAGAAATGTGATAGTGTTTTGTTACTGTCATTTTCAAAAAAATAAAACTCATACAACTTACTAAACCCCATTTGTAAAAGATGACTTAAATCCTTGTAGGAGGGGAACCCTGTTGCATTAATTATAGATTCTTGCTTCAAGACATACAGTGAAATGACTGTACATAATTTTAAGCAATGTACATATGCCAAACTTGGTATAATTCTCATTCTCCCGACAATCCTCTGAAGTAGATAACATTAGGTATTTTATAAAAAAAGAAACTAGTCAAAGAAAGGCCAAATAACTTCCCCAAATCCATGCATCTGATTAGTGGCAAATTATGAAAGAAATGTTCCTCATCAAGTGTTTGAAATAAATATAATAAAAGACCAATCTATATTATCACTCTGTATCTGGATATAATTGTAAATAATAATTTCTGTATTTTGCCATTATTTAAAATATAAAATGACTATATACCTTGGCAGTTTTGGAAATCTAGTTTCAATAAATTAAAGGTTTATTTTTTTCCTCATCAAATTCATCATTGTGCATCATTCATCTAGTCAATGATTTACTCAAGCATGCGACTAAGAGAGCACATAATGCATATTCAATTGTATTGTTGGAACCAGCAAACAAGGTTCTGATACTTTAAAACTTCATAATCCAAAAAAAAAATCTGAATTCTTTGGTCAATATTTTACTTTCTTATTGTACACAAACACAACACACAGATTCTATGTACTTACTATTTTGATACCCTTGATATTTTAGAGTATTCTAAAAAAAATCATAGCGATGCCTGATGATACTGTCAAGGCAGAAGACATGATTACACTGTCTTGAATATGACCTCATATTTGGATGTTTTCTACTACATAATTTTTTAAAAATCTATCGATGATAGTTGAAATTTGGGGTCATCATTTGCATGTTCAATTACATTAGGATATCCAATATCTGAACCAAATCTCAATGAATAACCACCCTTACTATTGAATATGTACAAGTAAATAGAAATTCTAAGGACCATTAGAATTTACAATTCTATAACTGAATTGTATAGATAATTCATAGACATTTGTAAGACAATTTACTATAAATCTTCAATGGAACCCTATGAAGCTTTCTACTATTAGATATGCAAACTCAGTTAAATGAATAATCCTGTCCTCTAATGAATCATTTCTAAGGGCATATAAAATACACTGAAATCTTGTAAATTTTTTTAACTCTCTAATTTGACTTCTTCTTTAGTCTTTGTTTACTTTTCCATTTTTCCTAGAAAAATTCTCTAAGGAGTTTCTTACAATTATCATTTGAAGTCCGGGTTTCATGGTGACAATGTATTTAAACTATTCCATGTTAAAGTCACTTGTTTTCATCTTTGTCAAACTGTCAGCAGCATTGATATTACTGAGCATTCCCTTCTTCTGTCCTAAACTACATTATTCTCTCTTCTTTACACAAAAAGTACTAACTGACTGAGAGCATGATGAGAAGCTGAACCCAGTAAGCTCACCCAGGCCCTCTGGGCTCCTCAGACAACAAGCCAGAGGATGAGCTGGGGGACCATTGGGACAAGTCTTGGTCTCTGCCTGACAGACACTTGGAGATCTCACTATGACTGCCCACTGACTCAACCAGGATGTGAGGGACCAAGCACCTGCCTTACCCACGCCTGGATGACCTGATGGTGGAAGCACTCACCCTGGCTCAATCCTATCTGTCCTAGCCAAAGCCACTGCAGAGGATGTGGAGCCTTTGGGGGGCAGTGGGCTTGGTGTGGTGAGAAGAATGGCATATCTGGTACATATTAGGAAGATTTTTTACATGAAGTCCAAGAGAAAAGGGACCACTAGAATGCTGTGAGCAGAGAAATAACAATCTAACTTGTTCTAACTAGTCCACTGTGATAAGAATCAATGGAAAGAGAATTTACAAAGAGACAAGGAGACCCATTAGCTGACTATTTAGAGAAACAAATAAACAGACCAGGCTGCAGGGTTACAAAATGTGGGAGGAAACCCAGGGGGGTGTGTAACAACCTGAAAGTCAGGTGAAAAAAGTGTGCTAGAGGAGGTTTCTAAGGGGTCCAATACTGCTAATAGGGTAAGTAAGGTTGTATGGAAGAAATTGTTTCTTGATATATGCAAGTGAAAATTGGAGGGGAAATTGGGAAAAACAATTTTGGAGGAAAGGCTGGGTGAAAATATTAAAGTTCAAACACAAATGGAGGTCTGGGGATGTAGCACCATGGTAGCGGGCTCGCCTAGTATGCTCAAAGTCCTGGGCTCTATTCCAGGAATTATAGTGAACAAATAATATACCAAAAAAAATAAACAAAGGGAAAAGGAATATAGCTCAGTGAGTACAGATACTTCGTTCTATAACCTCCTAGCTAAGGGGCATAGTTGGCTATTAACTATTTAATTTAACTGCATTTTTCAATCCTCACATAATAATTTCATAGTATATTTGTGACACATTGATTTTTTCAATTGTATGTGAAACCAAAACACATTAACTTATTAAATCATTAGTTCATAAAACTATAAACTAAACTAAAATAACCCTTAAAATATATTATATATTATAATTTAAATATAAACTGATTACCATTTGCTCATATAGATAAAAAATCACCACAGAAAAAGACAAAATATTTCAAGGGCACTAATTCTTGCTTAAAGCAAATCTTCTATTTCTAGGATATTTTGTAGTATGCAAATACAAAGTTATTATATATATTAATA